CCTCCCGTGGGGCCTGACGCGGGGCGCCCGGTTTCCTTGCCTAAAGTAAACATTCGAAAAGAGATTTTTATCCACGACATGGAGCGGTCCTTAGAGCTTGATTTAGCTGTAATCAAAGACACCTTTTTGTATCTGTTGAATTATAAATTCATGATTAATTCTCGAACGTCGTCTCCGATAAAATGGTTTTATTATCTAAACTGTTTTTTTTTTTACACCCATGTTTTAAAATTACAATTATTCGCCTGATTATAGTTTTGCAATAAAACCGAAAGCTTGCTAAGTTTTCCTTGATTTCTTTACCAATWTTATACGGATTATCATTCATCCTCTTCAATTGTTAACATTCACTATATTTATATTCAATAATGTGCAAACTTTTCTATCATCAAGAACGAAAATGTKGAACGTTCTAGAGGTCTTTGATTGTGTTCCGTTGAATTCCAGCAAATATCTGCCTGGTTTGTAAACCGTTGTAAAGAGATTTGTGCCATCATGATGTTTATCCGAATACAAATAATGTCTGTCTGATATAAGAACTGTACAGTCACCTTTTCCTGTAATGATTTGGAAAACAATAACGACAATTGAACAGCTTGGTGAAAGCCGTCATATTACATCGAACATCCGTATTCAGCCGCAAACCAACACTGCACCCATCCCCACCCCCCATCAAATAATACATCCACKGAAAAATGATTATGCAAAGGCCTGTTATCTTTGCTAATTCCTTAGCTGASCTCTGATTGGCTCGCTGCTCCCTAAGGATTTTGGTGACGTCATATATTAGCATAGAACTTCACCGAATAGACTACCCCAATTAGACATTAGATATCCATAAGTGTCTTCATAGTACGATGGTCTAAGAGGGTAGCTAAAGGTATGCTCTAGTGGGCGGCTACCCCCTCACTCCCTGGCCTTTTGGTTAAGACTAAGTTTTATGTTCACTCGGGATAGCGTGGAAGAGCCGAAATCTCTAACCGTAACGTAAGCCGATTCGACGCCTCAGCTTCATAGAATGTCTCGGGGGAATCGTCCCATCTTTTTAGTTTTTTATTTTCAT